CTCCAATGACTCTTACATCAAGTCACACCAAAAAACACTGCTGTAAGAGGAGAACAGAATAAAGAGAACATTCATAAGTTAGCATTTTCTAATAGATAATAAATAAGATATGAGTAAGTGCCCTATTAAAACCAGTTATTCTAATGGTAACTTGTAATTAATCTGAATGCTAATGACTACCATGCAGATTTATCCAAGCATCAGTGACTTTCCCACATGACCATGCAAAAGTCAACTGTCAACTTTTTGATTAATATTGTTAGATAGATATCTATTGTTCTACAGGAGTCAAAAGACAGAGCATATTTAAAGGGCATTCGAGATGAGAAACAAAGCAAAGAAGGAAAAATCAAAACTCTTGAATGCAATACCTTGATGTATCAAATTTACTTTCAAAAAAGAATGAGACTGAAAATAAAAACAAATCCAATATGTGTTTCCAAACACTGCTAACATACATAACATCAGGGATTGGCCTTTATACAAAATTTACTTTGAGGTTAAAATAAAAAGATTAACAATCTGCAAATATGTTGCTAATACATGCTAATAATTTAATTCCTTAAAGAACAGGAGAGTTGCTAGAGTGATAGTGTCACAGAAATGCTTTCACCTACCAGTGCTCTGTAGATATTCTGTGAAGGGCACTTTCTGAATCTAATTACGTCTTTGTGCTTCCCACTGTCCCTAGAAGGTCTAAACCTCACCAGGTAAAGTCTGCAGTGGCTTGGCATGAGACTGGGCTGGAATGCCCAACACCTCAGCTGTTTGCTCTAGCCTCTGGTCTTGTATCTGTCAAGTACAGAACAGCAGCCCCACTGGAGGCTCAGAGCACCAAATACGCCATGCAGATGTATTGCACTGCTTATTAATTATCCTCTTAAACATAAAAATATATTTTTATTTATTTATTTGGTTTTTTTAGTCAGTTATCTACTCTGTTCCCAGGCTGAAGTGCAGTGACACGATCACGGCTCACCACAGTCTCAACATCCTGGGCTCAGGCAATCCTCTCCTCATAGTTTCTTAAGTAGCTGAGACTACAGGCGGGCGCCACTATGCCCGACTAATTTTTTTTTTTTTTTTTTGGTAGAGATGAGATTTTGCTCTGTTGCTCAGGCTGGTCTTGAACTCCTAAGCTCAAGTGATCCCTCTGCCTTGGTCTCCCAAATTGCCAGGATTATAGGCTTGAGTCACACGCCCAGCCAGAAATACATTTTAAAAATTCCTTAATGTGAAGTGGTGTATAATCTAAGTTAACCTCAGTATTAAATCTGCACCATGCCTTTCAACGAGAAATCTTTCTTCTTTTAAGTGTAAAGTTTACAGATTTTCAAAAAGCATAAGGCACAGAAACTCTCACAGACAGATAGAATAGTAATTCTGAGTTTAAATATAAAGCTATTGTTTTGTTACCGGAACTGGGGTCTTCCTCAAAGAGTACCTTCTGGCAAAAGAGCCAGATTTTGAAGGCTAGATAATAAAGATTTTTCATTAGGTAAAATGATTTTATAGTTAGCCTTTTAAAGGAGATTTAGAGGCTTTGGAAATTCTTATCTTACTTGAGTTCCTTGAAAGCAAGAGACTATTTTTCATCTTGGTATGCACAGCTGCTAACACAAGGTGTGGCAAACAGCTGATACTCAGAGACCATCTGGTGAGGGAGTGTTCATGCACCCGTGTCTGGGTTCCAAAGCCCTTCCAGGGGATCAGGGCTGCACCCAGGAGGGCCCCAGGAGGAAGGCTGCTCACTCTGGAGGGTGCACCTGCCTTCCTGACCTCATAGTATCCCAGGCAAAGACAGACAGACGAACAAAGATGTACTTGGCTTTTTAGAAAAGCACCCATGAGATCAGTGGAAATGCCATAGGTTATTATTTGTCACACCACACAATTAGGGTCACACAGCAAAGTTTATCTGACCATCTCACCCAGGCGTGGGGACCCCCATATTCCAAGTCAGGCTGCGACTGTCAGAATAAGAATAGAAGAGGAAAACAACAGAAAAGAGAGTTGCCAAAAATAAATTTAAGAGCTAGGTAAAACATAAAAACAAGCAATCTTTAAAATCTTAGCAAAAATGCAATTTTCCATTAACTTCCAGGATCACACGTATATTTACAAAATGAAATATATTTGAATGATAGCTACTAAAAAAATCCAATTACATAAAACTTCTATGGTAAAGGTTGCTATAATTCATGAAATCTGAAGCAGTTTGAGAAATGACATTCCCTCCTCTACATAATATAATATATACTAATTATGTTCGGGAAAAGGTTAACAAATGCATCACTGTCGATCTTTAAATAAGAAAAATTAAAAACTTATGGTATCCAAAATTGAGGTTTTTCTGAGGTATCATCATTGCCAGTAGAAGGGAGAAGGCCTGTGTTTTGAAAGTCAAGAAATAAAAGATGACTTTGGGCCAGACGCAGTGGCTCAAGCCTATAATCCCAGCACTTTGGGAGGCCGAGGCGAGAGGATTGCCTGAGCCCAGGGGTTTGAGACCAACCTGGGCAACTTGGTGAGACCTCCTCTCTACAATAAATCAAAAATTAGCCGGGTGTGGTAGCATGCGTCTGTAGTTCCGGCTACTTGGAAGGCTGAGACAGAAGGATCGCCTGAGCACTCCAGCTTGGGTGACAGAGTGAGACTCCAACTCAAAAAAAAAAAATATGACTTTGTATCAGAACCTTACCAAGTAAAGATTTCGGAATTTTAGAATACATAAAACAGTACTAATCAACCCTGCATAGAGATGGAGCAAGATGCGATTCCTTTCAGTAGGGCAGTGGGGTGGCCTTGCTGAACCACCAAAGCACAGGGTTCAGAGCTTTGGGCAACCCTGTGCATGGAGAGCGCACAGCCCACCAGGCCCTGAGCAGCTGGCACTGGCCTTTCACTGAGAACTCTGACCCTGAGCAGGCTCTCAACTGCTCTAGGTTTGTTCTGCTGTGTTAACCTCAGTGTCTATAAAAGTTGAGAGGCCAGTGCCTTGCTAGACTCTGGTGTGGCCATGTGCTCTTTGAGCTATGGCTGTTGCCACACTTCCTGGCTCTGGTCCCCTCCCCCATCTTGGGGAGGTAAATCTTCTTTCTCCCTTCTCTTTCTCTAATTTACTTTTAAATACACTTTTCTTTTAAAAAAAAAAAAAAAAGTTGAGAGGTTTGACTCTCACCTCTAGGGTCCAAGTTCTCAACTTCCGTGGATTTTAAAGAGAGCCTATTTCTTTAGATTAAGTACTATCATGGGAAAGAGTGGTAAAGTAAACTATGTGGATGAAAACAAAAATCACTTTATTTTCCCCCCTCTTACTTCACATCCTAATTGTGGACCTCCTGTATGAAACTGCATACCTTAAATATATTTAACATCTTGGCAAAGAATAGTGTCCAGCAGAAAAATTTAACTCATCTCTGGTGAATACTAGCATAACACCATAGTTTTCATTAAAACTGCCAATAGTCTTAAATTCTTTGGGTCAGGAAACCCTTTAAGAATCTTAAGAAAGTAAACATTATTTTCCCAGAAATATGTAAATACACAAAATCTTGCATAGAATTTCAGGAGAATCATTTCTTTCATGATGATACATTCTGATAGTGTTTTGTATTCTGACTCACTCTCTCTCCTCCTATCCTCACCAGAACCTATATTAATCAGGTTTTACCCTCACCATTTCTATAAAAAGTTTTCTTGTCAAAGTGACCAATGTTTTGTGATGACAATAAATTCTCTCCTCATTTGGTCACCTCCCCTTGTCCCTGAAATAGTATTTTCTTTCTTTACTTGGTTTCAAGGACTGAACCTTCTCCTGGGCCTGCTAACGTCTATAATATCTGTGCCTTGTCCAAAGATTTTGTAAACTGAGCTTTGCATTTCTTATATTTTGGTTACACAAATCCCCTTCTGGGGTAAATCATTTCAGAGGGTCTGTGAGGAAGTTACAACTGTATCACTGAGGTTATGAATAGCAAAGTAACACTTTAATGGCTTCACATTGGAACTGTAACTTTCTGGAAAAATCACTACTGGATCTGTTTTTGACATTGCAAAGACAGTGACAAAACAATGTATCACCTTAACATTTTACTGTTATAAGCAGTCAAACATACTTAATGTATACATAAGAAGTCAAGTAGTGATAATATGATATAATTGCCACAGTGATAAAAACCAAGCCTTCGGCTCTATATAGTCCCTAAGTAAAATGGAGTGGCTGCTTTGAGATTTATTTATTGTTAGCGGTGAGATGCAATTTCAACCCTGTGGTAAATGAAACAGTCATGCTCAGATTAATTTACCGACTTAAAGCACTGAGCAAAACAGTTTGTCTATTTCTCCCGAAGCTCACCCTTTTCCCAAGTATAATTATGGAGGTTTCTGGAATGTTTAAGGAAAAATTCATATTTTTGTTTATTGGCCATTAAACTGTCAGTGATGAAGACACCTAATTATAATTGATAAAAGGAGAAACTCCTGCATGCAGACACAGGTCTTAAGGATCCAATCCTGATCCACCTTTTCACCAGGCAGTCTACAGCAGCTATGCAAACACATCACGGAATAATAATAATTATCTTAACTTGCAGTTACTTTAACTGAGATTCCAATTTTTGGCGGAATATGTGTGTAAATAAGCATGCAGACTCACTTAACGACGGATTGGGCATTCACATTCCTGTTCACATACCAACAAGGTTGAGACAGCTGTGTCAATCAAGGTTTGGTAGTTGTGTGATGTGAACAAACATAAAAAAATAATGACTTCCACTCTGGGAGAAAGAAACAACCAAAGTTCCTGTGTGCATTAATAATCTCTCTATAATAACAAAGAAACATCCCCGTTGATTAGATTTAAAATAAGCATCCCATCAGTGAGATATTGACTATCACTACAGAGATAATGGATAAGAAATGTGAATGCAGGGATGAAAAAAGCCAAGGACTTCGACCATAAACTGTGCCATGCAAACTGAATCACTCTGGTTACTGACCCTCAGACTTCCACGACTACCCACTGACACGCGCTCATCTTCGTCAGAAGCCTATTGGAAGAAAGGGTGGGAAAAACTGTGAAGTGATACTATTAACACACATAAAGAAACCAATGCCCAAATCTCGGGAATGCAACTGATCTGACACCACAGCGGAGGGGCAGGCCAGCCACCTCTGAAAATCTCAGCGGACATGAGCCTAGGTCCTCCACAGTGCGGGCTTCGGGCACCTCTGTTTGCATAGGACTGTTTATGAATAACATGAATTTAAATTAATTTCATTAAACTGGTATTATTTACTTTGCAAGTAAGAGAAATACCTAGTTTCAGGGTAGTACTATGAAAATCACTCATGAGTATTCAACAAAAAAAAAAGTACTAAAGCTGTCATGGATACGGTAATACTTTAAATTTTTTCAAATATATTCTCCTAACAAATTTAGGTCAAAATGCTAAAAACTGAGTTTACAGTCTTTGTTTCAGTCATAGTATCAGTATTAAAACAGGATTAGTTCATTTCTTTCACAAGCATCAAGAGACGGTGATATCACCATGAAGAGATGATATACATACATATATTTCAGTTGCTAAAAGTATAAACTAGACTTTAATCAAGTTGCCTGAGTAATGAATGAACACAGTACTAACCGATGTGTTTCTTCTGGATCTACGAGAGTAACGCTCACTGTCTTCCTACCAAAGCAATAGAGGAAACAGCATAAAAAGGTTAGAGACAGACAGACATCAGCAAAGTGCTTTCAAAAAGTTTTAGATAGTCCCATTGCAACATAATACAGCATTTCTGATCTAAATGTCAAATAAATATTTGCTTTGCTTTCATTTAAAGGTTTCAATTAAACCACTAGGGGATATGTTTTCTTCTAAAGGGGGAGTTCTTAAGTATATAAATAGTTGGCATATTTCATTTTCGATTTAAAAACAGTATGTCTTGGGGCAGAAGCTGGGTGTTCATTTTTTCTAACTTCTGTAATCTGGTTCATTTAAATCAATCTACTTTTTCACTTACATTCAGAACCTTACTCTCTTTGGGAATCAGAAAATCAATCATTTTCATAAAATAATTTTATCTACTGTATTTTGTGGATTCTAAGACACACACAGTTTTTCACACTTGGATATCTCTAAAGTTGAGATATATCTTATAATTAAAGTTGTTCACAATTATAGTTAGCAGCAATTTTTTTTTCTTTTTCAGTGGTATATAAAACAATGATCTATCTTAGGATTTGATAAAAAATACATCTGTCTGTGCCACGTAAGCCTAAAATGATGGTTTACACAGGCTGGATTTCACCTTTTCTTTCAGTAGAGAAAGTGCATTCTCTTTATATTTGAAGAACTCATCTCTTTTATATTATATATAGTATCTAAGAGATTAGGAGATAATCTTACATTTTCCTTAGATTATTTTATGAAACATGTTTTAAGAAAAATTTAATAGGACATTTCCATTCTGGCCGTGTTCTCAGCTGCTAAAAGCATGTGATGATGTCCTTAAGGCCAGTCAATAAAATAATAGGGACAGGAAGAGGTAGAAGGACTCAGATCGATTAACTAATGAGAAGGAAGGAGTGAGGCCACATCTCCGGGACCAGGGGAGAAAGCATACAGAATGTCCCCCTTCCAGAGTCTTCCTCCTGAGAGGGCCAGAAGGACAGGAGTCTCATTAGGGGCAAGCTCACTCTCAGATGACTTGGGGAGGTAGAGGGCTTGTTCTAAGAAGCAGGTTGAGAAGGTAAAGGAATTTTCTCACCAAAGAACAGTGGTTTTGGCAGCACAGCGGACAAGATGAGGAGGGAACCCAACAGCAAATGCAGATAGAGTCAGATGAGGGTGATGGGGCAGCTGGTTGCAATCATGAATGAAGAACACGGAGCATAATGTACTTTTTGGGTTCCAACCAGAGCCTGGCGCACTGTGATGGTGATGGGAAATTTCTCTGGAAAGTTTTGAAGCCAGGGGGCACATGCCCAGCCTAAGTCTCAAGAGGAGAGCCCTGTGCCCCAGGAGATCAGGGAGGCTGTGGTAGTGGAGACCTCCACAAACTGCTGGCTTGGAGACGTCAGCACTCGGCGGCTGCTGAATAGGCAAGACAAAATGTCTGGCCAGGACTGTCTCTAAGCAGGCTTCATTCGCGGATGTAAACAATCAGACACCAGATGCAGAAATCTCCAGAAGAAAATCTCCCACTATTAAATTACGGTGCAATAGGAATCTATCTACATAATTAAACTACGTAAGAATTACATTATAAACCATTAAGTCTTAAAATTGTATTCAAGGCCTACCATCCACTGTTCGATGTCACCCCATTTTGTATCCAGCCCATAATATTTCTACAGACAAAAGGGAAAGAAAATTAGGCAAGAAGTGAAATGGTAGTTGTCTAAGAAACTGTTCTGACATGCATTTCCAAATTGCTGCCCAAGCCACACGGTGAAGGTAACATGCCAAGGCAAAGCAGTCAATAACACACTCGAGTTCTACAGAGGAAGCCACCACCCAAGCAGTCCGTGCAGGCTGTGAGCGTGAAGAGAGACCCTTCCAGCCTATTCCATCCTGGTTATCCCAGGGAGCCCAGGGAGCCCAGGGATGTAAGACTAGCCCAGCGGCATTTCAAGCCCCTCTGTCAAGCTGTTCAGGCCTTCAAAGCAAATGTACTTACCGAAGGAATAAAACACTACTTAGAGAAGCAAAGCTGGGGGGAGTGGGGAGAGAATAGGGGGGAGGGGATTCCTGTGTTGCTGCCTCTGGAATGAGGAAACCCAGAGGAAAGGGGAAGACTTCCTGTACACTTGTTATAGCTACCTGACATTTACGCTGGATCTAGGCCCAGGAGAATTCAGATACTTTGGATGTCTTTATAGCATGCTATGGGTGGAAAGATGTCTGTGGTCTACAGAAGACATCTTTGTACCTGAAGAAAAATGTGCAGACCTGCAAGTTGTGCCTGGAGGTTCCTTTATCTAATACTTCCACGTTTTCACATTGTTAGCCTAAGCCATAATGGTCCTAGTCAGGATGAGAAAAGCAGACTCAGAGTGGCTACTGCTGTCACTAAATACAGAAATCCCAAAGGTAGGTAGGAATCCAGGTCACGGTCCCAAATAATGAGCTCTGCTTTTCTCTTTACTTTTTTTTCAATTTCCAAAAAGGAAAAAAAAAAAAAAATTAAGAAGTAATCAGCCAAATCTCTGCAGCATGTAACACAGATGTGAGTTTTCTCTTTACACATTAAAATCTTATAATCAGGAGAAAAAAATTGGATGCTAGAAGTACTTCACAATTTTTGAAATTGTTGCTTCTATGTTTGAAGTATGGCCAGATTTAAAATATACAGCTTTCAGATGGTCTTATCCCTTTCTTTCAGAGGGAGACTATAATAATGCTTTTAAAAATTCAACAATACTGAACTCTAATACAAAAAGTACACGAACCACATCTTTTTCTGTAAGCTGTTTCCTTAGGAAATGAAAGTAAACACTTCCCAAAGTTATTTTTTAGCTTTAATTTCAGTAAAATGCATCAACTGAAAGCTATTTTGCATTCAATTAATGTTAGCACCTGTCAAGTTCAAGATTTTTCACATGTAAAATATATATACCATCACCCCTCCTTTATCTCACGGCTTCACTACAAAGATAGATGAAAAATACGTTTTTAAAAAGGAGGTCCTATATAAATTCACAATAAAATTATTTAAATTCCAAAAGCAGTCTGTATTATCAGTTTTTCTATTTTCACAGTGTTCTTTTTACCCCATAGACATCTATATCAAATACGGCACACTATATATTATTGCTCTTTTCATGACAAAAATAAGAATCAGCATCCAAAATTTTTTACCTAGTTCATGGGTGGCCTTATCAATATCTACTATAGTTGGATTTCCCTGTCATTCCATAGGGACAGATCCCTAGAAACAGTAAGTACGATTAACAAGTAGTTCCCAGGTTAGCTAGCAGCACCAGCACAGCAAAATTCAGAAAGGGCAAAATATTTCTAACGTAAACCACTAGATTAGCTGGTGAGTCATGCAGAGGGAAACGAGAGCCACACTCCTGCAGAAGGTACTTGACTTTCAGAAATAGTTTTGATTTGAGAGAAAACATAATGCAAAGCAGCCGACTGGGGATGGAGAACGTTTCCTGCCTCCTTTCCTCTTCATAAATCTCAGTGAATAGGAAAACCTCGCCTTCCCCTCCCTTGGCCACACCATCAGTATACAACTGTGCACCTGCTCTTCCACTGCAGACTTCCTGGGCTCCCTCTGGCTTCACACTGTATCCAAATTCACATTCTGACAAAGCTCTCACAATGTATCCCTGGTGTGCTAGTAAAAAGAAAATACTAGGGATCTAGCACAAGAAAGGAATAAATGTAAGTGGAAAGGACGGCCCAGAGCCCCCTTTTCTAGGTTTTGGACAACAACATCCTGCTCGTAAGTTACTGTAAGGGCTCCCTAACCTGGCCATCCACCTATCCTGTGCTTCCCGAAGATGGCCAGGGACTCTAGCTGCAGTTCCACTTCAACACTTGGGCTCTGGAAAAACTAACAAAGTACAAAGAGATTCTGGCATCTACTTAACTGATTGCTTTGCACTCTTCAGGAGAGCACTTAGAGTAGAAGGGGCAGCCAGAGAAAGAAGGCAATCAGGACTTGTGGCTAGTACAGGAATTCAACACAATAGTCTTTTAAATTACTGATGGTGCATTTAAAGGGCCTGCATGATCTAACTTCCAAAATTAAGTGACCTTATTCTTTCTTCACTTGCTTTAAGAGAAAAATATGGTTGTTCTTCCTTTCTAGAAACTAAACAAATTTGTACAAAGAAACTATTTTGGATGTCCTAAATAAACTAAATTCATTTATGGAAAAGGCTCACTTGCATACAAATTCTATATATTCTCAGGGAACCTGCTCACTCTGACTTCATTATTGCTCAATCATGAACCACGGACTCACTTGTATCTCTATTTTCTGTGTCTGGGCTGCTCAGTGTATTTATTTCCAAACCTCAGCTGCTTCTACAAAATACTAGGAAACAGAGATGCATGTTAATTTATGATCTCTGAATATTAGGGATGAATGGCAGGTTTATTTTGTTATATCATCATCTGTACTCAGATCTTTAAGTCAATATTTAATCATCTCTCAATGTGGTAATTCACACTGGTATTTTAAAAGCTTTCTAATAAAATTATCTTTCTCTTTCAATATATGATTTCAAAAGGCTTCCCAAATTCTGAAACATGATTTTTTTGGTCTTAGAATTAGTTTTTTTTCCCCCTCAAAGAAACAATTTTCTAATTTCTTGAGGGAAATGGAGATGAGAAAAGCGTTCAGTACACAGAAATGTGTCTGGCTGTTGCTTTGCATGGGAGCAGAATAGGGACTAAGTATTCTTGTTCAAACAAATTTATACATAAAGCAGCATAATGCACAGTAAGAACTATGTATCTTCAATGCAAGGCATTATTTCTGAAAGGTGCCCAGGCTGTTGGCAAGGAATCATAGTACATGCAGATTAGAAAACAGAGAAGGAAGAGCCTACCTTTTGGACCTGATAGATCTACAGAGAAGAACAAAAGAAAAAGGGAAAGAAATGTAAAAATCCAATTGAAGATGCACACACATCAGAAAGGTTCTGTAAGTAGCTAAAAATTTTAAT